AACATCAGCTGTGTTTTGTTTGTTTGTTGTTTTCAGTTGATGTTATGACCAACGGACCCGCTCCTGTACTAACTGCACAGACAGCTGCTCGTCTGTGATCTGTGTGTCTGTAGAAGTATAATGTATGAGTTAATTGTCGGTCATTAACTAAGAGGTCACCGGTCATTATGCCTCTTCGTGGTCGATATAAAAGTTCACGGTACCGGAAACCTCCAGGTCTGTTAATCTAAGCTACACGCTGTGCTATCTTTAGCTTAACTCAGCGCTAACGTCAGCAGAGTTTAACTTTTATATCGTGTCGCGTTTTGTTTTTTTTTTTGCAATGTTTTATTATCGCACCACAGACTCGTACGTGATATTTGTTGTTCCAGCTGCCCCGGAAGAGAAAGTGTGCAGCAGTAGCACTTCCGCAGCCTCCTCGTCAACGCGCAGCAGCTAACAGCTAGTTAAACAGGAGCTACTCGATCACGTCGTCGTGGTCGTCTTTTCTTTTGTGTTTCCCTCTGAACGACTTGGGATGTCGGAGCCTCTTCCACAGCACAGCCTTTGTGTTTCATAAAACAGACAGACGAGGCCCCTGCATATATATATATATTTATTTATTTTACACCCAGGATTGTTTTTTTTAATCTAGTACTGTTGTAGAAATATGGCGGACGGCGGGCACTACTACAACGGTAAGAAACCTGTCTGTCCACAGCATTAACCTGACATGTGTTGTGCTACTTGTACCGTTTTTCTTCAGACCGTGGAGACTTTATGGTGAGGAGAGAGGTCAGGAGCACTGGTTACATGTCCGTAGGAGGTAAAACTATACACTGGCCCCCCCTCCAGAGGTCTACATATGTTACTTTACAGACTTGTGTTTAACCACAACTTGTTTACCTATTGTTATAATGCCAGCTAATGTGTCATATAGTCTTCAAACAGACCATATTGAAAACAGTAATAGCAAAGTTCAGTAAGGCAAAGTTATGTAACATGCTGTTGTGTCCTCTGTCTGAATGTCCTTTTTAAATTTGAATGTGTTGAGCATTTAAAAGCACGTAAAGACACATCTGAATAACATAACTTTAATTTCTCTAAAGATATTTTTTCTTGCAGTAGTTATTTAAGATATTTAGGTTTTGTGTTATGAATTTATAATATTACACTCCAGACAATAGGGGATGTGTCATCACCATTGTTTGATATATTTAACTCTATTCCATGCTGACAGAATTTAATTAAACTAAAAATATAACTTTGGTCTTAATGTTTTTTAATTTTTATCATATATGTGCATGATGTGATATTTAAATCAAACTGACTCAAACTTTTTTAGAACATGATGATCGAACCGCACCACAGTTTCGCAACCGTAAAGTCAGAGGCTCCCACAAGGGTCGATCTTATGACCAGTCCCGCCGAGAACGCCAATGGGGGAACCGCCCGGGAGGCTTTGGAGGTCCTGGGCCGCGGTCAAGGCTCGATGATCCTGATGGAGATGTTACTATGGGTGACAACTCTCCTCAGGACAACAGCTCCCAGCAAAGATTGTAAGTGTGGCTGACTGTTGTAGTTTAACGTCATAAGTCATCAAATATGTTTGAGTGTGTGTCTTGTTGATGAGCTTAAAAAAAACCAAATTTCTTTATAAAGAGGGAATGGAGAAATGTGTTAACAGTACAGGCCAATAGGAACTTCATGTCAAAAATAATACATTTAAAAAGAAAAGATGAATTGTTTTCCTCATTTGGTATGCTCTCTTTGTATAAGGGCGTGACACACAGACAGTTAGACCTAACTTCTTTGATGTGGATCAGTTTCAGCCGCTTGGAGGTCGTTTTTTCATTTGAACAAATACAGAAAGTGCATCTTAAACTACGCTATAGTCAGTCCAGAAAGAGAAAGTAAAACAAGTCGGGTATGAAAACCTCTGAAAGTAATTTAGTCAAAATGTACTCCAGAAAATGCCAAGTGAAACTGTGAAAGTGTATTGAGTTCAGTTCAGAAACT